ATTTCGGACGAATAATGGAAGAATCGTCTGCCGAAGACAAAACTTAATTCGTTTACATCCATCTTTCTTGTTTTCTGCCCTGGAAAGGGTTTATTCGATTAACAAAATAATAATGAAGATAAACAAATTTGTGAAGGGTCCGATTAAAAGAAAAATCATTTTGTGAAGGGTCCGTTTTTAGTAAAAAAATTTTGTGAAGGGTCCGTTTTTAAGTTAAAATATTTTGTGAAGGGTCCGTTTTTATGAAAAGATATTTTGTGAAGGGTCCGTTAACGGACCCAAATTTCTTCTAAACAGACCCCTGGTTCAGAATATTTTAATAAAACTAACCAGCATTTGCTTTACATGGAGAGGTATACCACAAAAACCAAGGTCAGCCCGACGGCAAGGGGATTTTGTCTCATGATCCGTCGAGCAAAGACGATATTTTACGTCACACTGTGGTCGGTAGGAGAAGGAAGCAGAATTCGTACCAACCAGCCACCACTGGGATTCGAACCTGAATCATCTCATTGAGAGGCAAATCTATCCACTTAGCCTCCTTAGTCACAGCGGCTCTGAGTTCGCATTTTTTCACTGATGACCTAAATAATTAGTATCAATAATTATATAGAGAAGCAAATTATTAAGAGCTTCGAGGTTTACTGTCAGTACCAAATTTACAAAGATGAGAAGAAGAAAAAAATTAGGAAAATATTAAAGCGTAAATTTTTTGTAAAGAACTTAACGAATTCTAAAAAGTCTAAAATAAAATAATTTTTTAAAAATATATAAAAGCACGAAATAAAATATTGTAAGCAACTCGAGTTGTTACAGTCTCAGTTAATTTTGTCAGACATTGTGGTTCAGATATGTTATAGAAAATAAACATATCTGAAAAAGACTACATCAAATTAAGTTTTATAAGAAGTTTGTCTTAAAATGCATTGTAAAAATCTTTCATAAAATTTAAAAAAAAAAAAATCAGATGAAGGCGGTTTTTGTATAAAAATAACAGCATCTAATAAACCGACTTTTTATCAGCCTATGTTAAAAAAATTTTATAGAAAATTCTTGCAACACATATTTTAAGATATACCTTATAGAAAATAAACACATCTGAAAAAGACTACTACATCAAATTGAGATTTAAGTTACACCCAATATTTTATTTCTTACTTCTTCTTCCGGAAACACAGAAAAGAAGATTTGTTTTAAATATTTTATTTCCCACAAATCTAGCCAGTTTCATTGTTAACTACAATCGCCAAGATGCCAAATAGATTTTAAACGTGAAAACGTAAAAAAAACGTGTAGATGTTTGCCCGGGGTGGCTACAAGTTGGTTCCTTTCTTTGATGTTTCTTTTTTTTTAAGTTTCTCGTGGGGGGGGGGCGCTGCCCTGAAGTTGCCAAGATTTGGCAATTATTCTGCCACTGATCAAAATAAGGAAATCTCCCATTATTGTTTTTACTTGAACCCAATTGTAGTAATTTGTGATATGTCAATAACTTTCTTTTTCGTCCCTGACATAATCACTAATCGGGAACAATTTTTTACTTTAACAGATTATATAATTCAATATTAAGAGCTGTCACTAGAGAACACCCTGCACAATGATATAAATGACTTTGCAGCTTACTTATAATATTTTCTCCCTTTTATTGACTTGCAAATTCCCCGCCCCCTCCCTCAAGTAAGCTTTAAAGCAAATAAAATTATGGTTAATAAATTTATTATTTTTGTTGATTGTTAGAAAAGATTAATTTATAAAATTTTCATAAAGAATGAAAATTAATTTTGTAGATTGTTCTCAAGATTATATTAACAAATACAGAAGATTATAACATGATTTATGCAACAAACCTAATATAATAATTTTAGTTCTGGTATCTGAAGTTCCTAACATTTTCAAAGTAAAGAAAAAAACTACAACTAAATATATTTTAACTGTGTATTAGTCTTATTTTAAAACTCCACTAGTAAGATACTTTTTAACCAATACTGATATCAATTCTGAAATTTTTAACAATAATATTTTACAAAATATGAATACATAGAATTGTTAAATAAAAATTCCTGAAGAAAAAACTTTTTTCTAGAACTTATGAGATGACGTTCAGGGTTTTTAATAAAGAAGCAATAAATAAAATAAAAAGGAATAAAAATAAACAACTGGAAAACAAAATTTAAATTTTTTGACATGAATTTTAGAGTTTATTGTACATATTCTTTTAACAATTAATGTTATTTATGCTATTTCATTTGTATATTCTTAGGACTACAAATTTCAATACAAAAAAAAAAAAAAATATATAAATAAAACAAACTATTATTTTACAACAATTATGCATAAAAAATTATTACTAAACCATCTAATGTTTTCATTTTCTCTTTTATTTAGAAAATAAAATATAAAAATTATGCTTTGGCGAATATCATCCGGTTGTTGAGCTATATTATTCTTTTGGGATGATCATTTATTTATATTTCAGGTAATTGAAATATTAGATAATTGAAATTTTAGTTTATATTTGGGATAACTTTAAATTTGTGTTTATATGTAGGATCCCTTAAAATTAAAGTTTTAAGAACCACAATATAAAGATCAAGCTATGAAAACAACCCAACAAACCTTATCAACAAATATTTAAATAATATTAAACACTTACATAATATGAAATATTTGCAACGTGCACACAGAGTTAAGAAAATCAATTATGTATTAATTTATTTTTCAAAATGCCAAATAGTAGTAAAAATTAAATATATATATACTTTAGAATAAAATTTTCTATTCAATTTGTAGAAGAAAAGGGGTGGATATTTTAGAATACACCATTTTTGTTTAGATTATTAACCAGACGTTTTTTAAATTTTTCCGGTTTAATGCGAATTCTAAATATTCTAATTTATAAAAACTATTAATGGTGATTTGCATACATAAAAATAAGTCTTAGCGCAGCTTTTAACCTTTATAATAAAATCGATGCATGTGTTAACTTCAAGAATCCTTAAATTTTTGAAGAAAATATTTCTCTAACGAAATTTAGCACTAAAGCAAAACGAGCATTCAAAATAAACGTTAACATGAGAAGCACTTACTTTCATTGATATACCAGCCCAGGGTCTGATAAATCGAATGATCTTCATTTTAAGATCTTGAGCATCATTAAAGGATCTTTTGATTTATCAAATACGGATGGAATATTGAACGCATATCTTCCTGTTCTTTTCTCAAATGCCTAACGCTGTTTAAATCAATCTTTTTTATTTCTTTCTCTCCACAGCAGATGCCAGGTGCAAATGGCATTGAAGGGTTATGTGCTGCCATCTAGTGTATATTTTAAACTTAAATACCAGAACAGAAGCGTAAGGTAAATATTATTTTAAAATAAATTCTTTCTTTTTTTTTTTTTTTTTTTTTTTTTTTTTTTTTTTTTTTTTTGTTTATTAATTAATTTTTTTTTATCGAATGTATCTTATTCTTTAAATTTGCTTCCTTACTTCTTAAATTAATCCTGGGAACATGACAAATTATTTTTTTTTCTTCTTTTTTAGAACGTTTACCAAACCCAAACCGGTTCGCCAACTAACAATAAAAATAAATCTTAGTAAGGGTAAAATTGAAATGAGCTATATAGTTCTATAATTTATTAGTAAAAGCACAGAGCACAACTGCTGTGGACTTTAAGCGGCCTAAATTTTTAATAAACAAAAGAAAATATTATTCTGCGATGAAAACGTCAAAAATAGTTTTTAGTATAATTATTATCATTATTTTTATTCATAAATTAATTTTTGCAGAAATTGCAATTTTTTGATTACTTGTTGCCTTAAAAAAAGGGCCTTTTTAAGTTCAAAGTTTTAACTATTAAAAAAATAAACAAGACCTGAAAAAAAAATTTATTTGATACTTTTCATATTTTAACAGAATATTGGTAGCATTTACATATAAAAGTCTGTGTATAAAGCTTTCGAAAGAAAATCATAGTTATCACTGAAAGTACGGTTTTTAATTGTTGATAATTGAAAGGTTCCTTTCAAACGAATTTCAATTTTTTAAATTTAATTTTTATCTAAATACGTTTTATATAGGCTGTATTTAAATAAATTTAAGCGGTTATGGTAACAGTATAAAGTTGTAATATGCCTAAGGGAAATTTTTTTTCACCAAAAATTTCATTGAAAATTATATCTCAATCATATTTATTCATTTATTAAAAATTTAAAATCAAGTGTTGAGTTAATCAAATGCACTTGAAATTAAACAGAGACACATCAAAGAGTATCTGAAAAATTTTCAAAGAAATAAAGCAATAACTGATGCAACAATAACTTTTTAAAGTTGCGCCAGTATTTAAAAAATCCATAACAAGAAAAAGCAACTTAGTCAACGAGAGCTGCTTATTAATGTTCAGATTTTTACAAATTCAAACTTTTTTTAACTCGATAAAGAAAATTATGATTTGAACTCTATTGGTTGCATATTACTTAGTAAAATGTGAAATTTTTTAATATCTCAAAAACTAAATAATGGGTTTTTAAAGGATTTTTCTCACTCTAAGCGTCCATTGTTCCCTTAAGTAACCAGTATTAAGTAAACAAATAAACAAACAAACAATAATTTTGAAAAAATTAAAAATATAATCAATATATTTTTCTTATATTTTTAATAATTTACTTGATAATTTGTAATTATCATCTTTATAATTTATAATTTCAGTTTCCTCCGTGTAAAATAAACTTTTCACTAAAACAAGGATCTGCAATAAAAATATTAAATAAATAATTTTTTAATAAAAACAAGCTATTGACATTTGTAATTTTCTTCAAACGAAGGTAATAAAACAAAATTTTTATTAAATTTTCATTATCACATAATTTTCTCTTTACATTGAAGCACAATAAATAGGAAAAGAAAAGAAAATCATAAATAAAGTACACTAAAATTAAAAGAAATAAATACCGGTGTAAGAAATTGAGAACAGAGGGAACCAACAATTTGCGCATTTACCAAAAAAAAGCTGAATCCGCACTGTCCGAAAATAAGTCACACGAGGAAATATTTCAGTGTAAAAACTAGTCTTAAAATAGAAATTTACGATTCAATTTTAAACCGTTATAATGAAGATGAAGTGAGAATGCGATAGAAACGTATGAAGTTTATGTTCCACGTGTATTGACGTAATTTTGATAATGTTATAAACAAAAACACGAACTTTGTCCATGTGTTCATAAAAGCAAGGGTATTTTTTTCAAATTCACTAGCTTCTGCGTAGAAATAAAAAAATATAAAAAAACGATACAACTTTCGAAGTAGCATAGTGAGTTTAAAAATTACAAAATTAGCTTGTTTTTATAGGTTTTATTTTATTTACTGATTTTATAGACTTGAAAAATTAAATTTTATATCCATGTATCGAGAGCAGTATGAAAATGTTTTCGCTTAAGAAAATACTAATATTATTTAATTTTAGATGTTTACTGAATTTCTGTTCACTTCTCTTGTTATTTTCCAGAATACAAAGATCATATTGGATTCAGTATGGAAACTATAATAAACTCTATTATTAGAATTTTTATTTTTTTAATTTTTTATTTGTTTAACAATGAAATATAAAAACTTCTGTTAAAATTTATTTCAACTAGTTATAACTACATAAATAATAATTTTCTTTGTAAATGTAAGATGAAAATGTAATGCAATGTAAATTTTGCACTTTATTATTAAAAGAAAATTAGGGTTATTCAATCCACTGGTTATTCATTTTTATTCGGTAATATTAATTTATCAGCATCTAATCTTTCTCTCTATCTCTCTTTTAATTTTATTACTTTCCATAGAAGTTAAGAAATTATCATTTGACAATAGATAAATAATCATTATTTAAAACAAAAAAAAGTTTTAAAGGAACTCGAATAAAAACGAAGCATTTTTATTATGTGAATACAATCTAATCCAATTTTATTATGTAATATTCATTTACTAAAGCTTTTGAATTCTCTTCGCACAAATTGGACTCTGGTGCCAATTTATATACTTTTTTCTGACGCTTTAAGTACAAGCAAATATATATGTAAACTAATNNNNTATATATCCAAACACAACCTTATATTAATCATAAAAAACAGTCTAATAGTTACGCTAAAAGGAAATCTGTTAATTTATCAGAATTATATTTTTACTAAAATATAAAATCTAGGAAAAGTAGTAATTTTTTTCTTCTCATTTATATTCAAAAATGTATCGATAATGAATAACGGTTTTCCTTAGAGCTAAATAACTGCGAATTTAAAAAACAATTGTTTGGAAGTGAGCCGTGTTTGGAAAATTTTACCCTTAACTCAAAAAAAGACGTTAGCATTTCATGCTGTATTTCACAACCATAATTTATTAAAATGCTAAATGAAGTGTTTTTCACTCATTTTTACCTAAAGTAATATAAAATAATGAAAAAGGTAAGAAAAAGTGTTTAGTAAAAATTCTGCGTCAAAGGTTTAAGAGATTGAATTCATTTAAATTTTTTCCAACTTTATTTCAAAACTTATCCTTACATAAAAAATCATGTTTGTGAGTATAATTCTTTAATTTTCCTTGAACGTACAGAAAATTATTATCTGGACTGTATTGTGGTTAACAGAAGCAATTTTAGATATGATTATAGGGTTATTATAAACAGATAAAATGAAGTATTAATTTCCCTTTTGTAAGCTTGCTGCTTGAACATCTTTACTTGCATAGATAAACTCCTACTCTTTTATAATTACATTTATTATCTTTTATTCTGAGATGTAAAAGGGAAAAAAAACGGTCGTTATTTAAACCTTTAAACTGTTTATAATGTTAGAAAAAAATAAGAAGAAAACAAAACAGAACTATTTAATGCACATCTAAAAAACATTTCGAATCTACATAAAAATTATAAAGGAAAGAGAACTTCAGTTTTCTCACGAAGTAAATCTCCCGCTGCTGAAATAATAATTGAAGTGCTCGGGGCATTATAATGATAAACCACATTTTTAAATTGTTCTAGAGAGCGTTTTTGGTGAAAAATATCTTAATTTCAATATAGGCTACATATACAGCAAAGCATTTTAGGAGTATTGTGCTGTTGTTGTGTAAATGTAGGTAAAATATCTATCCGGAAACAATACTAAGATAAAAGGAAGAACCGATTTTTTATTTGACATTGTAAATGATATAAAATTTCCTCACTATAAAATAAGTATGACTATCACTTTATTACCCAAATCTCTACCAATTATTTTATTACGTATTCACACACAATGTTCCAATTCACTTTACGTAATCACCTCCAAACCATAGTTTGAATCATTTTGTATGGAAAAACTATCATAAATATCATACTCTTTCTGTATTTAACCCTTGGCCAACCAAACTACTTTTTTTAAATAAAATGGAAATTTTAAATGAGAACAAAGAAGCTTTTTTAAGGGAATCTCACCCACTAATGGAATTCGAAGATTTTTTTGTATGTTATGCACTAGATTTTATATCTATGCCGATGAACATATAAACAATTTCTCTAAAAGAGCCTTTAGTAAAATTATAGCGTTTTAAATGTTTGCGCTGTTTGGCGAGGAATTTTAACTAATGCTTGTATGCCGCTTTTCTTGCATTTTATTTCATTTTAATTTATTTATTTCATACTTTTTATTTTCGTGGGTTATTTCACGTATTGAAAATCGAAATACGCCTTAAAAAACTAGTCAATTATTATGTTTTAATTCAAGCTTTATACTTAAAATTTAAGAAAAAAAAAAAAGAAAAACATGGTGCATTCTCAAAACATCCTTGAATTTTTTTCCTCTGCAACTCAATCCAACCAAACTACGCGAGAGCAATAACAATTCCCTTGTAAACAACTAAATGTGAAAAAGGTAGATTTTTTTATAATTTTTTTTTTATATCCTAAACAGTATAAAAGTTATATAAACGATTGACTGACGAACACTTGTAAATAATAATTTGAATAAGGTAGATTTTTTTATAATTTTTTTTTTATATCCTAAACAGTATAAAAGTTATATAAACGATTGACTGACGAACACTTGTAAATAATAATTTGAATAAGGTAGATTTTTTTATAATTTTTTTTTTATATCCTAAACAGTATAAAAGTTATATAAACGATTGACTGACGAACACTTGTAAATAATAATTTGAATAAGGTAGATTTTTTTATAATTTTTTTTTTATATCCTAANTATATATATATATCCAAACACAACCTAGATAATTTTATTTTTAAATGGAACTTTAAAGCAAAGTTGTCGTATACGAGCCGTAACCGTACTGTCTGTAACCGTACTGCCTGTCACAAAAGCTTATGTTTCTATGAAAACAGTATTCCCTACAATTACATAAGAAAATTTTATATGTATTTTTAGATTTCGTAATAGTTACGGCTTTTTTAG